TTTTTCCCCCCTGCACTGCCTTATTTCCCCCTGCACTGCCTTATTTCCCCCTGCACTGCCTTATTTCCCCCTGCACTGCCTTATTTCCCCCTGCAGGCCATTATTGATGCATTCCTTATCTAAGTCCTTGTCGCAGATCTTGTCAATATTGCAAAGTCCATCAGTACAGATCACATTCTTCCAGAGTTATCTGGTATAAAGGTAAATAATGTAAAAAAAAAAGAGTGAACCAGCCTTTTGTCTGCAGCACCCAGGTATGGTGGAGTAGAATGCAGATTTCGTGGAAGCTTGAGGTAACTTTTTTAAACATCAAGCAAATGGTAGTGATGAGAAGAGAATAAAGGTCAGATAATTAATTTTGTGCTTCTAGGGGTAGGTTAGTTTATCAAACTATTATGTAATTTTGCAAAGTTGTTGGCAACAGCACCTCACATCAGAAATTAAACAGATTAACATGTAATAATTCCGGCAAAAAAGCAATCCTACCTTCACCTCCTTCTGGTGCGTAGGAAGCTGTAATAATGTCAATGTCAGCACAGTTCATCACAATTTGGTTGGTTGCATTTTTCACCTGGAAAAGAAATTTTATGAGCATCAGGAAGAAATGGGTGTTCCTTATTCCCTTCAGCTCCCTTAGCTAGGGCATTCCCACCTCCCTTTAATCTAAAAACCCCTCCCTCATCAAGTGTTTGAATAATAATAATAAAAAACAATAAAGATATTCCACTGACTGCTCTTATTTGTTCAGGAACATGCTTACTTGAATGTCCAAGCCATCCAGGCCTACTTATCAAGACGGTAAATTATTTAAGGGAATGAACTGCCTGTTAAAAATTGGTATGAAAGCTGGACAATAGGGTCCTTGTACGTGCCTGGGAATCCAAGACCAATAAATAATAATAATAAAAAACAATAAAGATATTCCACTGACTGCTCTTATTTGTTCAGGAACATGCTTACTTGAATGTCCAAGCCATCCAGGCCTACTTATCAAGACGGTAAATTATTTAAGGGAATGAACTGCCTGTTAAAAATTGGTATGAAAGCTGGACAATAGGGTCCTTGTACGTGCCTGGGAATCCAAGACCAATAAAAATAGATAGAAACCCTTTTAGAGACAACCTACAGGAGATCATAGTAAAAACCTTTGAACACAAAGTTACATCTTCTGGAGATGATGAGAAATAACAACCCACGGGAATGTGTTCTAAACTGTAAGAACTTCTTAGGTTAAAAACATCTGCCAAGAAATTTGCCTTTACATTTTCCTGAAAGCTTTCCCTCTGCCAGCTCTTGGCTACACACACTTTGCTTTATTTAACAAGTGGCCAGCTCCCAGTGTAGTAATAAACTGTCTCACTGTGCCAGCTTTCTATTTGGATGCGAGAGCTCGAATACAGAGGAATTCAAATTAAATATCAATTAATTACAAAAGGGGGAAAAATATTTGGGAATTAAACTAGGAATTATTTAGAAACTTATGGCTGAAACCACTAGAATCATCAGACTGGATTGAGCTGGTAATCCTGCTAGTCCAGGGTACAGTTTCTAGCAGCAGACAATGCCAGTTCTTTACATAAAGGAGCAGGAATTTCTATAAGAGCCAACTAGAGTGTGACATATGCACGAAGGAACTGTTTCCCACCCCAGAGAGTAGGTTCCTTAAAGCATAAAGACTTGCATTCCTATCTTGATTTTTCACTCTTATAACATTAAAATGCTGTATTAACACCATCCATGTTTGAACACACAGCAGAAAACTGGACACAGTTGGCTGTGACAGAAACTGGTTCCCAGGAATCAAGAGCTCCTTCACCCCTGTAGCACCATCAGCGAAGTGCTCTGCACGTGCACGCCTGCTCAGCACCCAAGCACCTGGGTGTAAATGCATTTATTACAAGGAAATGCATTTATTACAGGGAAAGCCAAAAGAACAAGCTGTGAAGTGTCACAGTTGAAACAAGACACTTATCACTGTGCCACAAAGGAACTGGGATCTACAGGAGAGGAGGAAAGGGAAGCAGATATTCAGTCTGAAGCTGTTCTACCTAAGCTCACTGAAGAAATGGTTCCTTAGTCGTCATGTACTGCAAAAACAAATTCAAGTCTAGTCAGTGATAAGAGAGGCTTAAAAAATTTAAATTCATAACTTAATAGGTGTACCCACATCATAAGAATGGTCCATCTGCTCCAATAATCTGTGAGCCAGAGGGCTAAGACCAGGTACTCCGAGGAAAGCCAACCCTCGCAGTGGATGTTCAGCACAAGACAAACCTAACTCACATGTTTCTAACCTCAATCACTAATTTTCTGAAGAGAATGTTTATGGCTTATTCTTATTAACAGACTTTTTTGGTCTAATAAATATTACATAAGGTTTTATACTTTTTGACAAGCCTAACTACTAGTGAATCTTTCCAAACCCTCCTTGTAAGTCACCCTGCAGTAGGGTGTTGCACAGAGCAGCGCTGAAGAGCTGTGTTGTTTTCACCATGTTGCCTCTTTATGGTAATAAAACCAAAAACAATGTTACCTACTAAACTTAACCAGATTCTAAAAACAACATGCTTGCAAAGCCTGAAACAAGCAAATGTAACAGCTGAAGTGACACAGGTTAGAGCTGATGCTTCTAGTAAAAGATTTACAATCCGAAACCTATTTTTCTTTTCAATTTAGTGTACATGAAACTAAAGGATTACAACATTTCCCAAAGCCTGAGATCAAAGCCCAAGAGTTTTCATCACAATATTAGGGTTTGGGGTTTTTTGAGGTCTTCTAAAACACAGAAAAATAAGAATGAGAAAAGCTTTTTATAAATGTCTAGTAGCGACCTTTATTCAATCTACAAATCCAAATCTCTCTGGATGAAGAATTCAAGATGCATAAAGAGCTGTCCAAATTGCAGACAATACTGGGTTTAACAATAGGCTTGATCTTTAAAAAACAACCTCTTCTGAGGACAGAAGAATTTTCAGTGTAGTGCTGTGCCTGCAAAATAAGAAAGTTTAGTTTTAAGCAGAGACAACTTCAGAGGTTCCTTAGAAAGGCAATTGCCTATTTTTAGATTATTTTTTTTCCTTACCTCCTACAAATATCAAGCCAGTTTTACAAAAGAGTGTGACATACTAGAAATTGTTTAAAGGGACTGAGTGAACCAGTAGCCTAAAAAGTGTTTATTCTCCAACTCCCAAAGAATGAAAGGCAAAATTCGGCGTGCAGATGTGAATATTGGCAGCGTACTGCATGGCACAGCACACTTCTGAGGCTCTCATAATTTAATTCAGTGGGGAAAAGAGCTTTCATGTTGCCACACAGGCTCTAGCATGAGAGCCTCCTCCCTCTGATCCACTGAAAACAATGAAGTACAGACACACCTGTAAGAACAAAACCAAAACAAAACTATAAAGCACCCAGCATACTTAACTAATGACCATTTTATCTCATGAGAACCTCTAGCCCAACTCTTACAGACACCACAGGTATCATGTAGATGAATTCAAAGAATCATAGACTGGTTTGGGTTGGGAGGGACCTTCAAGCTCATCCAGTTCCAACCCCCCTGCCAGCAGCAGGGACACCTTCCACTAGACCAGGTTGCTCAAAGCCTCATCCAGCCTGGCCGAGAACACTTCCAGGGAGGAGCAGCCACAACTTCCTTGGGCAACCTGGGCCAATGTCTGACCACCCTCACAGTGAAGAACTTCTTCCTAATATCTCATCTAAACCTCCCCTCTTTCAGCTTAAACCCATTTCCCCTTGTTTTGTCATTAATTGCCCATTACAGTAAAACACATAATTAATGTGTTTTACTGTAAGTGACATCTTTAAAATGTTTTGACATTTCTGTTAATACTGTTTTGGAAGAGATATTCTACCCATGCAGTGCTTTTCATGAATAAAATCATATTAAAAAGCAAAAAAGCCTCTCACTGCATAAGGTATGACCAATTATAAAGCTGTATAGATATGAACTGTCACCCTGCTTCACCTTGCTTTATAATATAATAAATTTACTCTTCAAGAAGAAGAGGCTAATCAAGGGGAGAGCAAGCTACAAATGGCCCCCACTAAAGTAGTTTTGCCAGGAGGCTGACATGGCTTAAAAGCAGCAGATGAACTAAGACCAATATCTGGAATGAAAGAATGCTTCAAAACTTTAAACCTGCTGCTTTTGATGAAATTCTAGGAATATTAATCAGAATTCAAATAAATACCTACTGAGATTAGCCAGACACAGACACCACAAGCAGGTCTGCCCTGCAATAAAACTGCAGAGGTTTTAACTGTGTCAGTAACCTGTGTTAGACTAAGGTGACACACACTTCCCAACCTCCTACTCACCCACAGTTGCACTCAGCACTTGTTTCTGGGAAGGAAAATCTCACCCAATAAAAGATAAGAGTTTAAGTTCCCCCTAACTTTTCCAAAATAACATCATTTGACAGAAGAAGAGGTCAAAAGCCTAATTATTTGGCTCTGCCAAACAGGACTCGAAGATGCTGTAAAGCTTTTGATTTTTACTGGTTATCAGAGCAGGAAAGACTTGATGGAAAAATCTTCTTCGACATTAGAAACAAGAATGTGAATGGCTCCAGTAGAATGCCAGCCTGCCTGAAACACAGGATGAGGTGCACCAAAAGACACCTTCTAGAGTCAAAACTAATTCTCTCGAGCCATTTGTAAGACTGGATAATTAAAATCTTGTCACTCAGCTTCAGAGTCCTTTTCTAAATGAAGCATTATAACAAGCTCGTATGTTTTTAGCATTTTACTCTCTAAAAATAGACAACTAAAATTACCTCAGTTGTGTTCTAGGATGGATCTTTTTAAGAATTCAAAACTTCAATGGGAAAAGGAATAAAGAGTTTCACTAATCTGCATCTCGAGCAAATGATAGTAGCCAAGTAGTCAAGTTTCCAACTCCACAATTAATTGGCCCACTGGAAAAATTCACTTCATTCCAAAGGGCATCCAACTACAGCAGTCACACATACTTCAGAAGCATCAAATTCACACAGACAAGTAAATCCCTTGGTCACTGTGATCAATGCAATCATCTTAACCTGAGGAATTACAGAACTGAAAGAGGTTTGTTTTCTGTGGGGGAGAAGAGCAAAGGCATTCCTATTTTTGAAGCTGGGGGCATAAGGGTCCACAGAGCCCAGAGATCCTGACTTTGAAGCAGCAGATTGAAGACTCAGCCTGGTACCCTCAACACTCAAATTCAGATTTGATTTTATTTGCTGGAAATGTAAGTTACAATGCTGGGTAACATGACTGTATATTTATACTAGACAATTTGTCCCCTAAAAAAGAAAGTCACCACAAATACTACACCCATTAAGCTTAATTCTTCAAGGTTTACGTACAAGAGCGTCACAATTAATCTTTAACTGGCATGCAGCAGGATCCAAAGACTCCACATTCTTTAATCTAGCAGATACTGCATAATTAACCCATAAAAAGCAACAGATACAGGTTAAACATTGCTAAATATAAGAGAGTATCCTCAAGATGTATTAAAGGGACTGGGAAAGATATTTAAAAGAGCCATCTACGTCAGGTTGT